CTTCGCGGTTCTGCCACCATCATCTGTCACCGCCTCTTCGTTCGCATCCTCCATCACGCCCCCTTCACACTCTCGCTAGCGTTTAGAGTGAGTTACGCCCAATACCCAGTGGCCCCATTTCGTCTTCGCCCACGATCGATTACCCTGGCTTGCCGTCCCATCCATCATCAATGTCTTGTCCAAGCAACTGTATCATAGCACACCACACATCCCACCCCAGCCTCGTCTCATAGCATCACTGCACCCTTCCGTTCGCATGGCACCGCCCCAATCCCATGGTCCCGAGCATCTACTATAGTCTGCCCCGTGTCTACCGCGGGAAGCTCTTTTTTAGTTCCTATCATACGCCTACTACGTTACTATCACCGTCAGCCCTTTGCAATTTCAGCGGCTGTAGCCCCCTTCTTGAACACTCCACTCCGCTTCGACGCTTGGTCTTGTGTGAAAGTGTGAGAACGTGTAAGTTTTCAGAAGGCGCCCGGCGCTTTCTCGCTCAGGACGGTGAGAGGCATGCGCATATAGCCACGTACGGTACCCCGCCTCCCACCGCAATTTTAGGCTACGTCGCCTACAGCGCTGGAAACACGCGCCTCGCTCCATCCCCTTAGCTAGGTTGGCGGGCTACCATCATTGTACAGCACCGTACTATTTCGTTCGTGTGAGACACGTCGATCCTTGCGCGGAGGACCCTCTCCCGCAAATTGACCCTGCCAGCGGTGTGGCCCGGCGTCGGAACACCCGCCATAAACCCAACCAGCTTCGAACGGACTAGCTCATAGCCGGCGCTGCCGAGCGCGCTTGCCCGCGACTCCGAGGCGGAACCAAGGATAGTTTCATCCTCCTACAAGTGCGCATCTGCGCTCACGGTCATGTTGAAATTCTTTACGATGTACTCAGCCGTTCGCTCGAGTCCTTGTTTGAAGCAATGCGGACCTCTCACACCCCGGCGTTGGACCCGAGCCTAGGCGAGGTCCCGCCGTGTCCGCCCTCGTAGCGGTGCGCTAGTCGCAGAATGATGCGCCACACGACCCCCGCAGCGTCCGCTCTGTCGACGAAAGCGGCTCCGAGGCGGGCCGCGCCTTGTTCGGCGCGTGCTCGTAGACTGCCTTGTCCTTGGTTGATCTTTTCGAACCCTGCGCGATCGTGCTGTCTCCGACCGAACTTTCAACTCCGACATAATGCGCGCAGACGCAGGGACGTGCCTAGCAGCCCTCCCTGCGCAACTTCGAGGCCCCTCAATCTCATCGACGGCCACAATCCGCAGCGGTCCACCGCGTTATGTCGCTCGATCTCCGCTACTCGTGGCTCGTGGCTCGCACCTTTGTCCCTGACCCCGACAACGTCGGTACTCGGCGAGCAACGGGTGTCACGGTCGCAGCGTAGCACGCTGCCTCGACTTCTCGCTCCTCGCGCGATGCGTCGCGCTGCCCTCTCGCCAAGGCGTCCAATGCTGCGCGCACGCTGTCTATAGCCTCTTCTACAAGCTACTCGTCGTCACGCTCAGCATTCGTGTGAACCCGCTCTGTTCTAGGTGGAGCGGCAAGTGCGATCCCTGCAGGATTCGGGTCCGCCCTGCGTCCAGATGCAGGAGAGCGCGGTCCATCAGCGCGCCCTCAACCTCCCGTTGTTCCCACTGCTCATCTTTGTTCGATTCGCTCACGCGCACCACCTGCCTCTCAGACTTTCGACATGTGGGACATCTGCGTCATCTCTAAAAACATATCTTCCATGACATGTCGCCTGAACTCGATGCCGCTCGTTATGAGCTCCGGCATACACCATTGCTGCCGTTCACCTTCGCGCGTCTGCGGCGGTAACGCAACAATTTCTCGTTGCAGCGCATCTTGTGCCACTGGGAAGATTGCGTACGCGCTTGAGGGTCCCTGCTAGTCACCGGGTGCACCCTTTGCTATGGATCATGGATGGAGGCGCATCTGCAGGGATGGGCTTTCCGAACCCAACTCAGCCACACTCGCTGCGCTCTCAGTAGGTCGCCTAGCAGGGTTGCATCTGATATGTTTTGTTTCTTCCTAGCAACCTGTGCTCTTCTCGGCGCCTACTCACTTAGACGCTGTAACGGAACTTAGGTATCCTGCGCTCGTCGCGGGACACAAGTCGCCAGCTGATGCGCCCGCCGTTTTACTCCGGGCTGGGCGGGCTCAGCTGCTCGTTCACAGCTCGGCAAATAAAGCCCAAGTGGTGCTGAACCGCGCTGTATTGAGCCTGCGGACCTCACAGGCACTCTGAGCTCTACGGACTTCGAAATTTGAGGGGCTTCTCAACGCTTTATGCGGCTACCACTTTCCCTTGGTCGCCGTGTCGATGCCGTTCGGTAACGTCGCACATGTTTCTTGCGCCTTGCAACGCGGCTCGTTGAATTCTGGGCGCTAGCGCCATCCCACGCTTTTTACCCTAAGCGCGGTGTCGTGAAGCTTATGTTTTTCCTATCGTAACGATTTGGCATCATGACAAGCAACAGTGCGCGTCATGCACAGCGCAGGTCCAGACAAGAGCATGTTTGTTCAGAGCAGTGGACCAAGGCGCGCTGCCTCCGGCCGAGTGAGAGACTCTTCCGAGTACGTGAGAGAATGATCTGAACCGCGTTGCAGGAGCGCCACGTCCTCCTTCGTCACTGGTCAATTGATCTGAGGGCGCGCAGGGAAAATGAGCAGTGTTCCGCACCGCGTGGGCAAATAGAGTATATAGGTGCGTCATTGGTCCATAAAGGATCAGCAGTAGGCTCATTGTGGGCCGTGTCACAGGCGGGAAATGCGATGTAATGGGGGCATTGGTTTCGAGACTGGTCACATTCGCACTGCGTGCAAGGTGTGGAGTGTACGACTCGTCGGCCAGTATAGCAGGAGGCGTGTCCGACGCAGTGACCAGTCAATTTCTTCAATGAACTACGCTGATAAGCCTTGCGAACGCCGAGCGGGCAAGAGGAGCGAGCCTGTACGGTCTCTCATGCCACCGTATACGTAGGAAGGTTTTCATATTCGGACTCGCGCTAGAACTGGCAGGCAGAGCTAGATGGATTGTCGAAGTGACCCTCTTACTTCGATATGCCCGCGCCCACGCCACTGCTCGGGTCGCGCGTATACTGCAGCGCACGTCGTCCGGCTGGGAGTCGGCGGTGGTCGCTGTCGTCTGCGGGCAGCGGACGATCGTCGACGGTGCGCGCTGAAGTGGAGAGGATATAGATGGACAAGATGAACAAGAGCGCCACCCGCGTCATTGATACCTTGGCCAGAACACGCGGATAAAGCTCGCTCACTAGATTGAGCCAATCCTGGACACGCACTCGTGACGGTGAGAGCGAAATGCACGACGGAACGCGCCTGATAGCCGCGAGGAGTCTTCCTGGCATCCTCTGCGGAGGGTGTTCCGAACAGCGAACAATAATGTCAATGTCATCGTATGGGAAGGGAATGGCTGTGACTCAATTGAAGGCCTGTTCCGAAGAGGATTGTCGCTGCTGTGCGTCGTCACCCAGCGACGTATTTCGGAGGCACTTGAAGGGTCGAAACGTAGATCATATGTGCGAGTATTGCGGTCTGTGTGAACGATGTCTGGATCAAATCGCTAAGGTTAGTCAACCTCCTGAACTGGCACGGCGGAATTGTTGGGAGAGACGACTCTGTGATGGTTTGCGCATTTGGACCGAGTAAGGCATCCCTTCGGTATGGAGGTCCATGTCATGCAGAACTTTGATCGAGATCTGGGAGGTATCCAGTGAGAGCAAATGCGAGCTACGTGCAGTATCTCACACCGAGAAAGGTGTTCGTGAGGCTTTGGAACCTATTCGTGTTGATCGTGTAAGGACGCAGGTCTTCATCCCACCGTCTCACACAATTCCGTGTTATTCGGGGGTCTGAAACGTCGACGAACAAAGGGTCTGAGAATGGGATTCGTCAGAACACGGTTGTCAGGAGCATACCGTTGGGATCAACCGATTCCATCCGTACACCAAGAACCAGGTCAAGAGTTCTTCAGCGCATGTCTGTCTGTGCATCAAGGGCAGGATTGGTTGAAGTGCATCGGTGTATGCATAGGTGAAAGGTGGCCTTGGTGAGGTCAGCGCGAGGGTGATTGGGACGTGGAGACGGGACGCCGACGTCGGCACCCACTCAGAAGGATTGGGTGAGAGCAGCTCACTCGAAGAGCGCCCACTACTCCAGTGAGAATGTCATAACATGATCGTTACGGACTTCGTGGCGGTGAACTTATCCGTGAGCGTCTGTGGCTTCCGCTCATGGAGCGCGGCGAGCAGTTTGTTCCCAAGATGGCATATGGACAGACACGCGCCGAATATGCGATGCCAGGACTGTACATTGGTACGAATGCCTCCTGCCTCTGGTCGCATACCTGGGAAGTGGCCTTTGGATGGCACGCACACCACCAACCTTTACCCGTAACGCGGCACTGTAGGGAGATTGGCGAGGTCCGTTGGAGTAGCGCACCAGATCTCATGAAGCAGCAACTCGGAGTACAATCGACTGCATATGAGAGCGTATGGGGCGCAGGATGCACGTAGAAGATCGATCGAGGATGAAGATGAGAAGAATTGGCGAGGAGCAGTGATACAGGCGGGATCACGACTTCTAATAGGGGCTTCACAGAGCCCATGAAGGGCTTGAGAGTCAGGATTCGAGTGGAGGATGCACGAAGACTGTGCGCAAGGACGCCCAATCCAACGACGGAAAGCTGCTCGTTCGTGGAGTAGCCATACCAGGTTGCGCCTACCTTGTAGGGAACAAAGGGCTCGTTTCTGGATATCTGTGTCAGCCGGACGATGGCGGGAACGAATGAAAGGGTCTTGTCTTCACACGCACCTCGTCTTGAGACGTACGATGATCATCCACCGTGCAAAGAAGCAGCATCTCCCTTCATCCAAACCAAACGGCTTCCCTTCATCGCATGAGACCTTATCCGGCCTGGTGGACTCAAAATGTTATCGCAATCTCTGTAAGGACAGTCAGATCATTGACACATGTACAACTTCACGCACTTCACAATGGTACACTGGCGCACAACGAACCAGAGATACTCGACTTGTTAGCACAAGTCATGAACGGTCGATGACTGTAGTCGTCCTCTTGCTGGACTGAATTGCCCGATTTGGCTGCTTTGCAGAAGAAGCATCAGTGGACGAGTTCCCGGTGCGCGCGGTACCAACCCGCCGGTTCGTTGATGCTGGAAGCGCCGCGTTCAAAATCGTGAATGATGCACTGGGCGACATAGCGCAGATCGGGCATCGCTGACACCCCAGATTGCGTGCAGCTAGCCTCGAGGTTTAGGAGGGCGGATGTTACGAGGCTGGAAGCTGAGGGTAACGCCCGTGCAGCGAAGGTATGATAGCCCGATGTGAAAACCGAACAGGTGACATTCATTCAGAAGCTTCGGCAGAAGCGTCGAGAAGCCACTGTACAAGCATGCGATTAACCAAACGTGGCATAGTCGTCTGCTGGCAGCGGCATGGTTCGAGCGCTATACGTAGACCATCAAGCCCCCTTTGAACCCTGTGCATCCAGTGTGGCTGGCGGACCGCGCTGCGGTTGACAGCCAAGATGCGCAGTGCGCTGTTCGCTCCCACCCAGACGCATGTGCAGGAATCAGGTGGTATCCTTCAGTCGCGTTCGCCGCCCTTATCCATCAGCCAGAAGTACAACACCTCGCACAGTCGCGCTCTCAACAAGCGCACAGATGCAGCATTGGAGCATCCTTCAGACATTGCGACCGACTTGATATCTGACACGGCGCGCGTAGGTGCGAGTGATCGTGGGTTCTGCGAAGACCATCGAGGTTCGTATCTACGACCGAGCGTTCGGGTCTGTAGCAGTGGCGTGTCTGCGTTGGAATAGGCGAAGTGAACAGCGGCGCACTAAAAGAGATGATCTTAACGAGGGACTCAAGCAGATGTCATTCGGCATGGATGGCGGGTGGAGGCAAAGTCTGCTATCGGATCTTCATCTCATCCATCTAATCAAGCCACCTCCCACGCTAAATGTCACAGGCGCGACACCGCAGATCGATTGCAAGAATCGTTACGCGCGGTGTAGACGTACGTCCACATACATGGTTCACGACACATCCGGATACACTTGGAAGCTGGGTTGACGCCCTGATGAGAGTTGGACAAGGCTGCACTGCTTGGACCCAGGACTGGAAACGCCGTGAGAGAAAGCGCCACGCCCTCAACCTAGGTCCAAGGGCCACAATCAGCCAGACCGATCTCGAGCAGGTACTGCCGGAAGTACACATTTCGGTGTAAACGATCTCGTCCCGAGCCTCCGTACGGCTCCGAATCAACCACACGCCACTGAGGCGCAAATCCAATCACAGTCTGTTGAAGAGCCAAGTCAAAGGCAACAGTTGTTACGGACCGTCCGCATAACCCGCGACTAAGGGAATTGGGCTTTCCGACGTGCATTCCGGGGCGCGCTGAAGCCGCCATCGAGTTGAGCGCCTTCGCCGCATTTCAGGGTACTCTTCGAAGCTCAGGAGGGCATAAGCACAGGCCGCCGCCATTGGTGCCACACAGATTACTCGTGAAAGAGCCCTCGATTGCATGGGATGTGGTCATGGAGTGCGAGATCGAGTTATGTGTTGCACTGAGTGTACTGTACAATAGCTGTGGCAAACGTTTAAAAAGGTGCATAAAGGCCACAGGAGGACGCACCCATGTTTTGATGATCTAGGTATGTGGCATGATCGCACGGTCCAGCCATCAACACCGATGCACTGTAGGTTATCCTTGGTGACGAACAATATTGTCCTTATGGATTCCTCATCAAGACGTGGTGAACGAGATGAATCTCACAAGCCGTGACAGAAACTGAAGTGTGACGTGAAAGCGGAAAGCTCGGCGTCTAGCGGAGGTACGCCTTGGCCAAGGCGCTTCCCTCATGGAAACAACGAACCGGACTTCCTAGAAAGGAATAGACGTCGACATGTCACACTCGGACGTGAGCCAAACACCCCGCACTGGGGTCATAGGCGAAGATGCACCGAGCGCCGCCGCAGATTCCCCGGTCTCGCTGTGCTTGAGAGAGTACTTTGAGAGAGTCAGTGTCACTCTCCCAGAGAAGTCGCGTCTTCGGGGTCGGAAGCAGCGCGGAAGACAGGAGGTGTATCCGAGATGGAACCCACAGGAAGTTGGTTGGAGATCACTCTCACCGGCGCTTCGGAGTTCGGTGCGGAAAACGCCAGTCACATCTGTAGATGTCGATTTCACACTGAGAGCGTGTGCGGCGAGAAGCAAGGAGAAGGGATGCTTGGGAAGTCAGCACCTCGGTGAGATATGTCAGCTCGCTTGCGATGCTCATACCAGAGCAAGAGAGCGCTCATCAACGAAGCGCTGGGAGTCGTCTGTGCAGGATAGTTAACTCATTTGTCACTGCTCGCAAAGGATGCCCGTCGTCTGGGGTGAACAATGCAACTGAAGGAGAATAAGACCAGTACCACAATACCGGAGCGTATGTGCGAAGACGGAGACGTAGAAGGCCCATATCTGGTTTTATCAAACCCTTAGATTCCACGTTGCCTCCAAGTACGAAGTCTGACGATTCCGTCACGAGAACAAGGGTTCGAACATGAACGCTGAGATGCCCGTATCCTATGTACAAGAGAATCGATCGGATTTGAGTAAGCAGTGCAGAAATTGGTCAGAGCGAAGGACGGTATACGTTTCAGGACACCGTCCAGGATCACAGCTCTGCTACCGGTGAACTCGTCCTCATGCTCATTCTATGCCACATGAACCAGCCGCAGATCGTTCAACGTCTCTTAGCGGGGGAGGGAAATGGATCCTTGGTCGTTCATACGCATCCACTGTCCTGCGAGACAAGGCGTGGCAGGGCAGGCAAAAGTTCATTAAGCGGAAGAGTCGCGGAGTATCGGCGTTCTACGGAGCGCCCGCAAACTTCGCGAGATCCAGCTGGGAGAGCCAGCAGAGCGATTGTCGTGCGAATAGCTAAGGTCATGTAAGCGGGTGACCGCATAGAACACGTAGCTTTACAAGTACGCACCGTGGGTCCAAGTACGGCGAGTTTGGCGCGAAGCAGCACAGGTCAGCTGCCGCCATCATCTGGCGCTGAATTGGCCGCCTATGAAGATGCTTCTGGGAGGAAAACATACGAAGAACTGAGAGAAGGCGTACATTGGCGGGCCGGTACATGGAGCTGTACGAGCGGTCCATTGGCCCGGAGGACCAAACTTGAATGGACATGTGAGATTGAATTGAAGAAGAGAGCAGGTTGTGTATTGGCCCAGCTGACCGGAAATGAATACTCCAATGGCATTCTGGTGGACGCTGGCCTCTAAGCAAGTGCTGGACGTTGATACTCCTGTAACACGCGCCTACATAAGTTTCAGCGGCTTCAAGGGTTGAGCAGAGCATCCCGTCCGGCACCGTATCTCCAGTAAGGCGAGCAGTGCGGCTCCCGCTACCGAACTATGGGTGTGAGAGCTAGACGGTACCGCCACTCTACTCGTTACGCCTCCACAACTTTCAAGAGCGGTGACGGCAGAGTTCACAGGTCAGACAAGCGGAGACATCGGGCGATGGCGGCCCTCCGACAGTTGATCTGAGAACCACTAACCGGGACAGGGAATTCGTAACAACGTCCTGCACATCCTGAGATGCAAAGAAGGAGACCACTGAGGACGGTAGTAAGCATCCATATAGTTCTTTCACTAGTGTGATACTCACAGCTATTCCTAGCGGGAAGTCCAGGCGCTGTGGCCCTGTTACTGCGTGCGACCCAAGTGGAGATCCCTATGAATAGCCCATCTGCTGCAGCGCGGTGCCGAATCCAGTTGCCTATCGATGTAGTATCTTCTGCACCAAATGTGGCCTATGTGTGATATGCATACTTTGGGAAGGACGTGTGAGAGGCCCACTCGATTATGACGGGCTTGGAGGGACTACACTCTGCTATCTCCGAGTCACTTCTCATGTGCTCCGCTTGAACGAGTATCTGGCACAGATTTTATTCATCTCTGGAGGCACCTTCTGCAAAATTATAACTCCAAGTCGTATAGAAGAGAGAAATGTGTCGGCATAATGCGCCGTCGTGGTGGCGGACACAGAAGAAGCGCGAGTTGCGAGCCTCACGCTCTCGTCTCCGCGCCCACGTGCCAGACGCGTCACGTCTTCAGTGGTCCGTTTCTCCTCCTTGACCACGATCAGCTCGCGATTACATGGCTTCCTCCACCACCCGGCGGGGCGCTTTCATCGTTATTGAGGGTCTTGATCGGTCCGGAAAGAGTACTCAGGCCGCCGCGCTTTTCAAGCGACTGGAGGAGCATGGCGTTACCACCGTCTTGCAGAAGTTCCCCGGTCCGTGTACCTTACGCCTCAAGACGTAAGCACTGACATCTGGTAAGATCGGACAACTACCATAGGGAAGATGATTGACGGATATCTGCGCTCTGCCACTGAGATGGACGACCGTGCGATCCATCTCCTCTTCTCTGCGAATCGCTGGGAGATCGCGTACGTCCCACGACTTCTCTGATAGATGTACGTGTCGTGAATACCAGGTACAGGGCATCTATCGAGCGTCAACTATCCGCTGGAACTCTAGTACTGTGTGACCGCTATGCTTTCTCCGGCATCGCGTTCTCCGCTGCGAAAGGCTTGCCCTATGAATGGTGCGCATCCCCAGACGCCGCTCTACCAGCACCAGACGCAACATTGTTTTTCGATGTGACCCCGGACGTCGCGCGAACGCGGGGAGGCTATGGGGAGGAGAGGTACGAGAAGGAGGAAATGCAATCACGTGTGAGAGATGTATTTGGTACTATTGCGTTGAGGATGGGAGAGCGCTGGACCAGAATAGATGCAGGGAGATCGGTCGAAGAGGTAGGGGATAGTGTGTGGGCTATAGTCGAGAAGTATACAGATGGAGTGGAGGGTCCTGTAATGCGTCTGTGGCCGGACACATCTTCTTGAACGAGACTTAAGATCAGCGAAACCGTAAACGAGGTTGTGACAAGTAGGCTTGCAAGGAGAGGTTCAGCCCTCCATATCCGCAAGCTCTTTCTTCGACATCTTTTCTGCCTCAACCTCCTCTTCGTCTTGTCCTTCGGCTCCGTCGTCTTCGTTCTCGCGCATGACCTCAGACAGCTGAGCAGCGCTGTAGTCTGTGAGGTCAAACTTGCGCTTCTCGCGGAAAGGATTCTGTCGTGCCTGTCCCTTAGGTGGGAGAGCAGCACGGTCAGGAATGACCCCGCGAGCATTCAGGTACGAAAGATCGTTGCCAGTGTACTTATCCACAGAGCGCACCCATGCGTCGAAGCTGTCAACGGGCCTGGCTCAGTCTCACTCCGAGAGTAACGCTGAGGGTACTCACAGTCCTCCCCGCTGCTCGATGTCACGCATGCGTTCGTAGATGTGAGCTTGCTTGAACGCTTCAATCTGATCCTTGTGAACGTCGAAGTCAATGGGCGCTCGGAAAGCAGGGTCCTCCGGTGTAAGGTTCGCGCTGACAGTAGACATGCGCTTGTTATACGACTCGAAGACAGGTGACTCTAGCAGCAAGCCAAGAGACGGCATTTTAGGCACGAAAACTCGTCTCGGACCGTACAACTGCAAGAAGAACTGAGTATATGCTTCCATTACGATATTGCAAGACGAACCTCGTCAATGAGCTGCGTCGGAGTTTGCGTCCGCACAGAGAGTATGAGGGCCGCGATCATTTTACGCTGCGTTCGCTCTCAGCATATTACCCCTGACAAGCGCCTGCAGACTTACGATCTTGAGAGAGGATGAGCGACGATCTTACCGGATGTGAGGGTGTTTAGAACGCACTTGATGAAGCATGAAGCTGGACCCATGAAGCATGACCGCGATCCACTCTGTGTCCCGATCCCCATACACAGCCGGATCTCCAACCTCGATAGTCTTCATGAAGCGTTGGCAGGCTCTGTCGTTGAAGTCGCGAGCAACTGTAAAGTTGTGGAAATTGTGAGTGCCCTCAAAGTGAGTTGCCGCCGCACGCAAGCGGTCCATATCTTCCGGAGTCGCTCGCCAGGCGCGTTTGCGAGTGAGGTCTTCGACTGGAGTACTGTCCGGTGAATGACCTTCCCAGAACGGGTGCATCGGCCGGTCCGCAAGCGCGCTCGTCTCATGAAGGCCGCTCCCGGGTTTGGGCGGTATCAATAGATATGAAGGGAAGTAATATGTGTATTTCCGGCTGTCACAGAGCCTGGTAAGGATAGTGTTAGCCCATAAGCTCGAGATTCACATATCCACAGCGTACGTTCTCGCAGAGAAAGAGTTCTGGACACGGACACAGCCCCAAATGCGTATTTCCGGCGGCAACTCCGCATTCACTGCCGCGACAAAGTCCGGTTTGTCCGGTATAGCGGTGATGACCTTGGCAGAGACCACGTTGCCTGCGGCGTGTACACCAGCATCAGTGCGAGCAGCACGACCAAGGTTTATCTGGAGGGTGCAAGGTTTGAGACGGTGCGACAAGCGGTGCCACAACTCGAAACGTACTTTGGTTGGATTATCCGAGTTATCCTGGGAAACGGCACCAGCGCGTACAAGTGCATCGAACAACGTGTTCTCTATGGTGCGCACACCAGTACCACTGACAGAAATTATTCAACGAAGCATTCGACGAGAAAGGGAGTCGTTCCAACATACGCAGTCTGGATTTGCATGCCATTATATCCGGAGCCACAGAAGCCCATAAGAAGCGCGCATTGGCGCTTCGGAAGACGAGGCGCCTTATCCGCTCCATCCTTTTCTGCAACTCCCTCGCCGGATGTGGTAACAGCAACAGCTTCAGCGTTGCGCGAACCATTGCGTTCGCGCTTGCCGCCTTTGGGCTTCTCGCCGTCCCAGCGACGCGTTCGTATAGAGCGCTTCTTCCCACCCTTCGTCTCCTTCGTAGGTTTACCGGCATCCTCTTCAACGTGTACATTTGATGAAGGCTCGTGAGGTATAGATGCAGGCGCAGAAGTATCAGGAGCACTGGGAGACTGCGAAGTGCGTAGTCGTTTAGCGGGCGAAGAAGCCGTGTCGGGCTCTGGAGAGCGCTTCCCAAGTATGACTTGCTCAGACATGCGTATCCGAAACGATGGCGAGAAGAAACCCTGTGGTGGTTTTCGAAAAAGTTGCAGCAGCGAAATGACGCGCCGGGACAACATGCGCGCGTGACGATTCGCGCGTCCGACGCGTCCTGGTACTTGACGCGTGCCATCATGTCTCTTCCCACACATGGACGTGTAGTGCTAGATACGACGGCTGGAGATATTGAGATTGAGCTATGGTCGAAGGTATGCCTTCCCCCATTTCCATACTTGACTATCATGTTAACTGAGTTCACCAGGAAGCTCCCAAAGCCGTGCGCAACTTCATAGCTCTCGCCATGGAGGGTATGCTGCACAACAATGCTGCACGAACTCGTGACTGATACACGATATAGGCTATTATGATGGTGTCATATTCCACAGGTGCCCTCCCTCCGGCTGAAGCGAGGGCCTACCCGAAGCTTACTCCATAAACGTGCAGGGTAGTACCGGACTTCCTAGTTCAAACTGGAGATCGCACTGGAACCGGCTCGGGTGGAGAATCATTCTATGGGGGTGCGTGCACTTTCTTCAGCTGTCTTACTACATGCTCCGTTCATCTGCTTCACATGCTACGCGCCACTCATCGCATCCCCTTGACTATCGCTCACTCTTCGAATGGATGGGTCGCTGACGAAATGGACATCTAGAGCAGTTTGAGGACGAGATACATCCCCGACTACGCTACGCTCACCGAGGTCTCGTCGGCCTCGCCAATAATGGCAAGAAGCACTCGAACGACTCGCAGTTCTTCATCACGCTAGGTGCGTTGTGCCGGACTCTAGGGCCGATCATGACCGACTCATAGATACATTAGATCGCGCCGACGAACTGCACGGAAAGCATACTCTATTCGGGCGGTGTGTAGGCGACTCAGTCTACAATGTAATGAAGATTGGTCAAATGGGTGAGTAGTCTGCGTCACCACCAGCTTATGAGTACGCTAATCACGGGTAGAGCTCGACGGTGACGGAAAACCCCTCTATCCGCCCAAGATTCGGACTGTACGCATCATCGAGAATCCGTTTGAAGACATCGTACCTCGCATCACCGCCGAGGAGAAACGCGCACAGCTGAAGGCGCGTGAGGCTGCTGCTCGGGAGCGCGAAGAGCGAGAGAGGAGGAAAGGCGCCAAAAAGTATGTATAGCCGCTCTCTGCATACCGTCGTTGCGCCTGATGTTGACTTGAACGTCTAGGGACGCTAAACTCTTGAGCTTTGGTGCCGATGAGGAAGAAGCGGATGCACCGGTGATCAAGAAGAAGAACATCGCTCGACCGGATTGTACATATCACTCCCTTTGATTGTGGACGGGACGCTTACACATGATCACAGTGGTTTCAAACCCAGAACAACCAGATCTGCTCGCGGATATGCCTACGTTACCAACAAGACGAGCAGGAGAAGACGGTGTGAAGGAGAAGGAGAAGGTAGTGCCCTATCATATTTTATGACACATAAGACATGCTGACATGTACGTAGAAACCTACAAAGTCTCAGAAGGACGACGACCTCGCCAAGCTTCGCGAACAACACGCCAAGGAACAGGCTTCAAAGAAGTAAGGACGCCTCGTCCAACTTGACTGAATTTTCGGTGCTGATTATGCTATTCAATTGCAGATCGACACGACAAGCTGAGATTGACGCGCTCGAAGCCGACATCCGTCAGATAGCGCGCAAGCGAGCCGGAGGGGATAGCGACGACGATCGTGCGGCAAAGAAGCCCAAGGGTCCTTCACTCCTTGCTGCCGAACTCGCGAAGTACTCGAAAGGCAAGGGTAAAGGGAAGAAGAAGGGCAAAGGCGAGGACGACGTGCTCGCCACACTCAACAGCTTCCGCAATAAGCTCCAAGGCGTGATGGACGTTGACGATGAGGAGCCGGAGGAGGAGGAGAAGAAGGAAGGGGAGGACGGCGAGATGTTACCTGCGGCTGAAGATCCTGGTGTGGAGGTGGACGACGATCTCGGTTTCTTAAGTCATCATCTGAGGTTTCCGAAGGGGAATGAGGAGGAGGTCGCGAAGGCCGAGAGGGAATACGAGGTTATTGACCCACGAGCGCGTGGAGCGAAGGCAAAGGAGGAGGAAAGGCAGCGGAAACGGGCACAGAGACCGAGAGACGGCGGCAGGGGTTCCCGACGATGACATCTGCACCTTGAGTGTGTTTCTGTGCGCGCTTCTTCCAACGCTACCGCTGGTATGGAAGGTTGCACATATTCGTGTACTTTTTGACTGGTGTAACGCGTGTTTTTCTCCTAAGCGGCAGGGTCAAGTTGAGGGTTGTGTCGATCGCGAGAATCCGCATAATGCATCATCCAACCATCAGGTATCGCGGTATCTGTAAGTGGATTTTCTCATTGAATTTTCTCCAAGGAGAAGCGCCTGTTCATCATTGCATCAGTCGCACCGCGCACAGCTCAGGCGCTCAGGTCCTTGTCGGACGCCATAGTCCGGATGACACGGAACGACTACCGGAAGAGTTGCAACACTCCCTGCTGTCCCTTGCGCTCAACGTACTCAACGCCTGTCTAAACCCTCATCTCATCTACAGCTCACTCGGACTTGTATTGGATCTGTCGCTTTGTGTGATGTACTTTGACGTGTCTCTGGCAGGTTGTCAAGGCATCAGCGATGCAGTGGTTCTTCGAACGCTAATCCGATGAATTTACGTCTCTGCATTCAACTGCAGCATATTGCTGATGTGGGAACTTCCTGCCATCAAATGCCTCAACAGTTCATTGCACGTTCTACATCATCGCCGTCGGTCTTCTAGGTTTGGCTGTGCCTTGGTTATAGGCCTATAAAGAGACGCAGGTGCACGAGGCCTTCTTGTTCATCAACTTCTTCGCGCTTTACGACCTTTCCACTTCTATCCAAAACCTTTTCGTCATGGTCTCGCGCTCACTCTCCCTCGCCGTGTCGATTGCCGCGGCTGTTTCGTCTGTTCGAGGCCAAAACGACAGCCAGACGTCATTGAGTACGTAGATCAATTGCGAAGTCTACGTATGGACACTCACGCCGTTCTTGTGTAGCGCTGGACACGGCCGTCATCTCAACCGCTTTCGAGCACGCAAACGAAGGCGGCCAGTATAACTTCACGGCCTCGACGACGTCTTCCAACAACTTTATCAACTGGTGCGAGACGACCGGCCTTCCCTTGACCAACGGCACCCAAGTCACGACCGGATCATGCAACCCCGCACCGATGGGTGCTATTCCTTCGCAGGACAAGATCCCGACCAGCAAGTTTGTTACGCCGCTCAACTTCGACGAGATTTGCGCAGGCACGACCTTCCCCATCTCCCTCGCGATCTCCAACCTGGTTTCGGGCTGGTCGGCAGACGTGTTCGACAACTTCTACGCTGCGCCCCAACAGCTTGACGCCGACACCGGGCTCATCCGCGGGCACGCGCACTTCTACATCGACTCTGTCGGCGCGTACAACTCGACAACTCCTGTTGACGCACTTGCTTTCGCGTTTGCTGGGCTAGCAAGCGCACCGGCTGTTGATGGGAAGCTGAGCGGGACCGTCACGGGCGGTTTACCGGTGGGCGTTTACCGCCTCGCGAGTGTGATTGCGGCGGAGAACCATCAGCCTGTGCTTGCTCCACTCGCTGCACACGGGTCGATCGACGATATCGTCTAGTGAGTCGTCTCATCTTGCAAATCATAAGGTGCAGAGTACTGATTCGCCTCGTAGCTTCACGGTCAAGTCGTGCTGAAGGCACAGTGGAGGAGAATGGGAGTGAATGGCCCGTACTAGCCCGTACTACATATCCTTATTTAGTCATGTCTAGACGTCTTTACTTGCGGAAGTTTCATAGTACACCGACATCATCATATGAAGTGTTGGATCAGCATGACGGGAAAATGCAGGACACAATACGTAGGGCATATCAGTGACCCGCCGTTCCCGGCGAGCGTGTGCCACACGACAGCTGTTGGTCGTTAGCCGCCGGTGACGATGAGCATGGCATCGTGTGCATCTGTTCCAATTCAGCCCGGGAAGCGCGAGGGCGATGATGTGTAGATATCGAGAGAGGAGTATCTGGCTGAGTTGAGTTCGGGCGTAAGCTGGTCGTGGTCCAGGCACGACGTGTGAACACTGCCGCGCCTTGAGCGCCCCACAGCTTGTCTTCAACTCTCACCTATCCCGCGCCGTTTCTTTCTTCCTCTCTGATCGATCTACTCTTCAACATGGCGTCAAAGGCAGCGTACAAGCGTGTAAATACCGTAGTCTCCAAAATGAAATAAATATGACTTATGCTCCTGTAGCTCTCAAAGGAGTATGTCACTATGCAACGCGAGCCGCCGCCCTTCGTGTGGGCCGCTCCGGATGAGAAGGACATTCTTACCTGTGCGTTGATCGTTGCTTGTAACTGTGAAACGTATGCTGATCATACGTATAGGGAACTTCATCATCGTGCGTTCCACCGACATGAACTCTGAACCTCATGTCTGATTATTGCCATAGCGCGGACCCCCAGACTCTCCTTACACCGGTGGCGAATATCATGGTGTCCTCCTATTCCCCTCTGAATACCCCTTCAAGCCGCCGGGCATCAAGGTCTGCCTCTATTTATCGTCGCCAGCTTCGCGTTCTGACCGTGGTTGGTGGCTTTGTCATTGCAGATGTACACCCCTTCAGGCCGTTTCCAGCCCGACAAGCGCATCTGCTTTTCAATGTCTGACTTCCACCCCGGCTCTGTGCGTCACGAAGCGCCTGCTTGAGTTGTTCTTCTGGGCTAATCTAGCGTAACAGTGGAATCCGGCATGGAGCGTGGCCACGATGTAAGCATAGCTTCCTTTCACATCCATTTGTCCCTCGCGCGTGACCATTGTTCGCCCATGCTGATGTTGCGCCTACAGTCTTACGGGACTCGTCTCGTTCATGCTCTCGGACGAGATGACGACGGGCTCTGTGACGACGACGGACGCGGATAAGCGTGCCTTCGCAGCACGCAGCCATGCGTGGAATCTGGAGCAACGACGGTTCAAGGAGGCATTTCCCGACGTGCGTAGCATCTCTATTCGATATCTCATCCATCCTACAACGACGGAGATCATCCCTTGCGTGGATTGGCGCTGCCATTCTATCTGTGTTTGCCATCTCCGACCCTTTTGCCCGAATTACTGCTTTCGTTACGTCTCCACACTGCACCGGTGAACTAACATATCCTTCGCTCACAGTATTGTACACCGATCGCCCGTGATCCGCCTAACATGGGAGAACGGGAAAGAGGGAAGGCTGATACGCCTGCCGCTCGTCCGACAGCACCGGCGATTACCCCATCTACGACATCTACGACTACGACCGCGGCGCCTACAGTCGCACCGGCACAGAACGGCAGTGCCGTTATTCTACCTCCCTCTCTCGCATCAGGCATCCCGAAGAGCGCCTCGGACGTACAGAAGAAGGTTCCCGTGAAGCGTAAGGTGGTGAGGGACGTACCTGCTGCTGCTGCGTCGGCCGGAGACGGGAGTGGGCGCGGTATCGCCGGGAGTTGGCGCGGGCTCGTATGGGAGAAGTGGCGCTGGGGCGTTTTCATTGCCATCGCGGTTGTCCTCAGCAGGATCATGACCACATGATTCGTTCTTGCGCCCCATCCCATTTACGCTGTTGTCATGACTCGCCGCTGTTCGCTGCTTTTTACGCCTTGTAACCCTCGTTGGGGCTCTCCGCTTTCTTAGACTCCCTTGTGATGTTGGGCTCCATATTCCGTCTACGTCAAGTCACTCCTTGTCCTATCATCTCCTGGACTGCCATAATTTACACATTTACCCGTCATTCAACTCAATAACGCCGACTCGCACCCCCCTGAAGTCCAGCCCCTCTGTACGTATACGGCTTTGAACACACGCGAATATCTCGCATCTATCTAAACTACGCAAAGAGTGGAAGCTCCATGCGCCCGATGATGTGTACTAGCAAATGCTACGTCACTGAAACTAAAGCTGGGGTGTAGATCCATATGGGAGCACTTATTCGCGATCACGTGCATATCTTCAAACGCGTGCTTGCGCGAAGAGAGAAAGCACGGTATTCAGGGATGTGATGGGCTTTCTTGAGGAACGGGATGACGCTCAAGGTGACGCAAGAGTAAGGGTAGGTAGAGCAGGCGATACACCTGAGCCGAGTGAACGAGGAACTCTCATGTCTGGAATTTGCGCAGCGTCTGAATCTCATCCAAGAGGTTCTGGAGTCGGTCGTCCTCTAGTTTGTTGTTAAGACTGCAGTAAATATCATGAGCGGTTGGATTGCCGAAGCAGTATAGGGCACCGGCATACCTAGGAACCACGCTCTTCGCCTCATCTGCGTCGACCGGGCATAAATTCGCGATCTGGGCAGTTTCAAACTGCGTAAGGTCTTCTTCTCTTCGGAGAGTTCTAGCGTGACACAATCAGCGTACTAGAGCGTATTCTTGACAGATAGTAATACGCACTCGCGGACAGCAGCGGCCGAGTCTGTAGTGTTGAACTTGGCAAACGTCTTCACGTACTCAAGCGTCTTGTTGAAGATACTGATAAGATGTCAGAGGCGGAATAGGTAGAACGTATCGCATTTGTACGCACGCAGTATCGGGTGCGGCCTTATCCCTGTTCTCAAGCAAGTACCGAACCTCGGAGATGAGCAAGCAACCAGCCTCGTTGAACTCTTTTATCCTGGGTCATCACACGGCCTTCACGCGCTTTTATCATTCTAACTGACCGGACCCGAGCTTGAGCTGGCCAGCGTCCTCCTCCTCAGCCTGTTGCCTGTGGCGTACGCGGGTGGCCATGACGGTGGAATGCAAGGGCGTTTCGCTCTCGTTAGGGACGAGATCCTGGTGAAACGCGTGCCACGTGTGTTTTGTCGCCCTAATCGGGAAGAGAATGCGAGCAATATTCGACCTGCCACTTCAGCTCAACGCGATCCTTGCTGGCGCCGGTCACCACTGGTACTGGCTCTTGAGCCGTATTCGCACTACCATCCTTTCAATGGTATCGATACTACCGATCCAGCTTCGACTTTCTGAATCGAGAACAAGGATGTTGATTGCGCAGTGAATAAGCGGACATCGTCTCCTTCAATTGTAGCGTGCAAATGGGTTCTGTCCATCCGGCTATGTCTTTTCCGAGACCTTCAAGCCTCTACTCTATGCCTTATGGACTATTACTACAACTTGCGCTGCATGTACTTGACATGCTCTTGAGGAACGGGCTCCACGTTGCAGAGCTCTTGTCTTCGATGAGAAGAAGCTCGGGCGCTCTCTAAGCGGTGCATTGACCCATAGCAACATGCCTTGCGCCGTCGCTATGACCTATACACGTTGTAACGACATGCATGGCAGCCTCATGTTCATGCTTTGACCCTCTGCGCGGCCTTCAAAAGAGGACAAGCGCTGTGCGAGGATTCCTCAGAACTTCCCTTCTCACCCCCCGTCCGCTTCACAATAACTCTTCGTTGTTGTGTCGCAGATGGACTCCTTCCTCCGCCACAACCAGCTTCTCCAGCAGAACGCGCACGCGCGTCAGGCTGGAGGCGAGCCCCAGGGCTTTGCGGCTACGGCCGCTTCGTCTGCCGTCGTCAACTACGACGACATCAGGGCGTTCTGGGGTGGAGAGGGCTTCCCCACTCAGGGCAAGCCCGTCGAGGAGGTAGGGGTAGGAAGGGGAACGGAAAAGGGCGTCAAGCGCGAGGTCAGTCTGCTGCGACCTCACTGGATCATCAATACCCTCGCTAACAGTCGATTCAGGAGCGCTTCACGCCCTGGCGCGAAGACAGCGCGACTTCACCGCGCACGGCTCGCTACCTCAGCCTCACAGACGACCTCACAGGCCTGCGCGCAGGCATGGAACTGGACCCGCTCGTCGTCCCCTACACCCCGCAGAACTCGGCGCGCCAGCTGGGTTCCTTCGGCGAACCTGCTCAGCTTCCCGTGTTCCACGTTGAGTACCAGGACAACGCTCTGGGTTTCTATCCCGACGGCACGGCTAACTACAACGGCTTGCAAACGCCTCTGACTCAAGAAACGGCAGCTCTCCACGACTTCGGCACGACACCCGCAGCTCTTGGTATGTTCGACGACTTCGGCACTGGCCTCTACACTCCCTGCGGCTCTACCACGGCTCAGTCGTTCTACGGCACCCCGGCAAATGGCAACCACGGTGACTTCGACCAGCTCGTTGTACCGCCGGAGTGGTACTACGGCGCTCAGGTATCGAGTGACATGTCCTCGGCACCGTATGCGGCGAACGGCTATCATCAGCAGGCGAACTCAGGCTTCTCGTACGTGGCACCTAACGGCAGCGGCAACTTCACGCACCAGGCTCAGGCGGCGGCGCTCCCTCCGGCGGGTTATGGCGTGTGGCAACAGGGCATGGGCAGCTTCGCTCCGGAGCAGGCGTTAACGAGCTACTCTGTGGTACGGGCGCCTACTCCTCTTCACCTTGCTGGCTTCCCCTACGACACTGCACCGAACCCTGTCGCTAGTGGAAGTCGGGCCCCGACGGAAGCACAACAACGGACACAGGTTTCATCCGCACACCCTCAGACGCAGGACTTCCCAGCGGCTTCCGGTTCACGAACTCAAGCCCGCGCCGTCGCTGAGCCACAGCAGAAGGTCACCGCCAAGCCACGCAAGGCCGTGAAGAAGGCAACGGGGAAGGTCAAGTCTTCATCGAGTAAGGTCACAACTGGTATCCGCCCGCCACCGCACTCCCTGCCTCGGTTTGGGTCCAGGGCCAGCCTCAAAAAGCTGGTCACCCTCGTTCCCTTCGCCGAGCGCTTGACCACGACGGTCCCTAACGCAGTCGTGAGCTACTACGACGCGCGAAAGGCCAACTACATCCTGGACAAGCACAGCACCCTGCCTCCCATCAAGTGTCCCGTCGACGGCTGCAACGTGACCTTCACGAGCCTCTCAACCTGCCGGCGCCACGTCGACCACTTCGCCGGCCTCTACGTCCAGAAACGGCTGGACGACCCGGCACACTTCGACGTGCAGAAGGACGCTGAGTTCGGCAAGGGAAGGGTACACCCGAGGGACCCGGGGATGGCCGCCGTCGCTTGTGGCTACCCTGGATGTTCGGCCATCTACTCGCGCCCGGACGCCGCGAGGCGTCATCGGAAGATCTGCACGTTCAAGCCTACGGACTTGTTACCGACGGCACTTCCAGCAGGGGACGCACTTGCCGCGGCAAGCTCTCGGGATTCCGGGGCGTAGGTCGCCACGACGTCCACTCTGGTCGGGACGATGTTTGCCGCCCTTACGTCGTCGAGCGAGGCGTTCAGACCGTATACTATGTACGGCCTGGTGGCACCCTTCACAGGGTTGACGTCGAAGGCTTGGGAGATGGCAGTGACCTCCGTAGGCGCGTCTTCGGGCGCGGGAGGAGAGTACCTCAGGGTACGACGAGCCAGGACTGCGCCCAAGAACGGACGGGCGAAATGTGACCCTTTCACCTCGATTGGGACTCACAAGGTTTCTGCTTCCTAGGATGGTGTTTCTGAAGCTCGACGGACACTTCACTCGCGCACTTGTTTTGATAGCAGAGTCAATGACTCTGCAAAGCGTCTCATAGCTTGCGTTCTCGTCGTGTACATGAGCGATAGTGTAGCAGTAGTGCGAGATAACACCTTCCCCGACCCCTCAACCCAGCCACTGATGATTGTCCCGCTAGGGCGGCGCAATCGAGCGGCACGCGCGAGGCACCCCATCGATCCTATGCTGCTTGCCGAAAGATAGACCCGTGCGTCCAAGGGCCTTGCGCGGGCGGCCATCTCAATCGAACCCGAAGAAACGTGTCGCAACGGCGTCCCAGGATATGTTCACGACCGTAGTGCCACATAGCGCGCGTACGTAGTACGGACCAGCGGGTGATTACCGAAAGTGCTGCACAATTCCCAGTGTCTATCAGGCTCATATTCGACCGCTGGCTATAACGGGAAGTATACACACCTATTCCAGATCCGCCGGTTACTTCGTCGGCATTCCGACCTCGCCGTTGAATACAAGCAGAAGGGCGCAGGTCACGACAACAATGATCACAATGATGCACATGAGAAATAGATGCGGTCTATATGACTTGTCAGTGATGAACAGTCGGATATGGTTTTGCCACTGACTTGGACGACTGTAGCGTCGGGTGCGAGCTGCGAATATCTCTGAACCCTAATTCGTATTCTCCGTATCCTGCGAAGATCACCAGCACCGCCGCTCCCAGCCCGACAGACGCTAGCGCCACCACATCAGCCCAGTTCCCATCACTCCTGTTCTCTTGATCATCCGAGTTTTCCAAGGGCAACCGTACTTCAAGAAGAACAGCGGAGGCGAAGAGTGCCAACAGTAATGCGAGGCGGAGATGCGAGAGGAAGTTACGTTCCAGCATGCAGAAGTCGCGCGGGCTGCTGCCCTCAATGGGTAATGTGGTCGGCATCTTGTTGAGCTTGCCCAGAGGCGTCTCTGGATAATGATACAGCTGGTAGCTTCGCCTCAAGACAGTCGGGTCCAGGATGAAGTCATGCTTCGACCCTCCTTGCGGCGGGCATGCGGACCCTGGGAAACTACTGACGCGGTCACCTGCCGCTGCATTTCCTGGTTGGCTCTTTCTACCGCCACTGACTTGGCCATCATGTTGCCCAAGCAAGACATACCAGACTCGACGTATGCAAGAATGTCCGACCGTGGCAGAGAAGACCCCAATTTGATCCAATATTCTCGGACTATATTCGAATACGGCTTGATACCCGTCCGTGACTGGGTTGACTAAGCGTAGTCTCAAGACTGGCTAGACAAGTTCCGACAGTGTACGGCGAAGCATCCGCTTCAGTATAGGGATGCCTTATGTTCCACAGTACCCTCACAGTACTTCGGGAAGGCTATAAGCATCCGTATGAACGACGACGACGGGTATTCTCAGTCCTACGACCTCTTGCACACCCCGCTTCTCTCGCATTATCCTGTTTCAACCATCTACACCCAGCCCGGATGTCATCTCACTCGCATGAACACGCCCACGCCCACGGCTATGGTCACGGTCACTCTCATGAGCACGGTCACGACCATAGCCATGACAATGCTCATGCTCATGCCCATGACCACGACTCGACAGTCGAGCATAACGCAGCCTACTTCGACGAACTAGCCGAGAGATACGAGAACGTTCGTGGCGCTCGCGAGCTGATCGGGCACCTCGGTACTGTTATGCGCGACGCTGCATCCTTCGACAAGGAAAGCACAACCGTGCTTGACTTCGCCTGTGGTGTTGGTGAGCTGCTCGAGTTACCACGGTTTGTAGGCCTAGCGCTCATGCAGCTCTCTACGCAGGCATGCTCTCGCGCCAACTCATTCCGCATGTGAAAACCATCACCGGCGTCGACATTAGCAAAGGCTCTATTGGTGCTTATAACCGCAAGACCGCTGAGACGGGTGCGGCTGAGAGGATGAGCGCAGTGGCTCTTGATCTTAAAGGTGCTCCGGGTGAGCTCGACGATAAGAAGTTCGATGTTGCAGTGGTGAGTCTCCGCCCTCTATACTCAAGTTTAGCTCTCGCTCAACTTTCTCAGTGCACTATGGCATTCCATCACTTCGCTTCACCCGAGGCATACACCAAGACGCTTGCGTACTACCTCAAGCCGGGTGGCAAACTCCTCGTCGCGGATTTCATGCCAACCGCCGCTTTCGATGATTCGAACACGACGGAGAAGATGCGCGCTGCAGTTCCGCACATGAAAGGCTTCCCGGAGAGCACGATGAAGGAGATGTTCGAGAGCGCCGGCTTGACCGAGTTCAAGTACACCAAGGTATGGCGCGGTCCCGCACCTATGCCGGACGCCAATATCCCAGATGAAGAGCGCATGATCGATGTGTTCCTGGCGGAGGGTACTAAGCCCAAGCTGTGAGGACTCAGGAGCAACAGTATGTAGTAATCGAGAGAGAACGAATCGTCACATTCTGTACGGATACGGATACGGATAATATAGTACATGAAGCAATAGGGTACTGGAAAGTCAAAGCGGTCGAATCCGGAGTGCAAGAAGAAAGCAATTGTCAACAAGGGATGCACGAGAGCGATACAAGCGAACGAAACGAACAAAGTGTTCAAGCGCAAAGACGATATACAGTCTGAATATTCTACCAGAAGGCGCACCAACCAGAGAAACACTGACAAAGGTTCTCGAGCGAAGTGGCCTGCTGAATGAGCTTCTCGACCTGCTGCTCGACGGTGAGCGGAAGATCCGGATTGAAGTCGCGTCCGGTAAGTTTGGCCTCGACGCGACGGTATACAGCGAGTGCACGGCCATCGCGGCTCTCGGGCGCCTCTGTAGTGCATCGTGAGAATCGAGATTCGTAAGCAGGACCAGTAAGGTACTAACCGTTGAGGATCTCGTTCTCGTCCGCCTTGACCTTACGCATCGGGCCTTGAGGATACGCGGTGACGCGAGCAAGCTCAGCCTGACGGGTGGCGTCGCTCCCTATACATCGAGATTAGATAAGCCATCCTCGAAACACAGGCATGTGAAGATAACGCACCGGCCAGTCGCTTGTCCTCGATATTCGGCATCAACCGCCAGTTGATCAAGGGATCGTACACGAAGGCTTCCAACACCGCGAGCAAACTCTCCCGATTGTCCCTCAGAACATTCATCGAGATCTCGCACGTATTCCTGAAGCTCCCTTCAATGCCAGACACCTCCATCGCATGTGTAAGCATGCGCGTCAACCGGAACGGAATCTTCTCCGGGAACTTGTCACGGTGCATCGCGATCTCGAAGCAGTCGCCGAAGTCGATGTGGACGACCTTGCCCGTCTTGCGCTCGAGCATCAAGTTGGACGGATGGCGATCGCCGAGACCGAGGATATGTCCGACCATGCTGTTGACAGCGAGGGAGCGAGTGTAGGTCGCGCGGCGCTCGAGCCAGTGTTCGGAGTTGGCAGACTTGAGCCAGAGCATACGGTAGAGATCCTGACCGGTGGTGTTCTCGAGCGCGTATTCGAAGACTTCGATCTTCTGCAGCAGCATAAGGCTCTCGTAGTCGGGTGCCATCTGTGGAGGGTCTTAGTTGCATTCGTACGTGAAGTAGTAAGTAAAGAGAACATACCTGGAGCATAAGGCGGTACTCGATATTGAGCAACACCTTACGCGACTCGCGATAGTCGCGCACAAGAACGTGCAGAGTATCGCTGTCGTGCACCCATCCAATCAAACCCGCATGCGGCCCGAGCGGAATAACGGGGTACCCACGGATGCGCAGCTTGCGCTTGAACGAGTTCATATCCACCGCGAGCAGCGTATTGACGAGCCCATAGAACTGCATCACACGCTCGTCCTGTCGAAGATCTTCGTGGCCCTTGAGCAAATACTGATAGTCCTTCCCGTCTGATCCCTTGAGCGAAACGCGCCGCGGGCGCTGCTTGGACGAGATGACGGTCAACTTCGGCGCGAAACTCGCAATCGTGACCAGCGGCTTGCCGCTCGCGTATGTGCCAGGGACGGCGAGCTCGAGGTTGCGCGCCTTGAGCAGCTCAGGCGAGACGTACTGCAAGTCCAGCGTCGTGAGTTGGGGCAACTGCTTTTCGACCTTCTTGAACACGGCAAAGTAGATGTCCCACGCGGCGTCGAGGTCCTTGATCTCGCCGTGCCGACGGTAGCGCCTCGTGTGCTCGCGCGCTTCGTGCAACTCGCGACCGAATGCTTGCGCGAAGCTCGTCTCGCGCGCCGTCGTCGGGCCCGCCTCGAGTAGCTCGTGCAGCGGCTCAAGCGCAGCGATCATGCCTTCGGGGTTATGCTCGGTGTAGTACTGCCTACTGGCCTCTTCCAGCCGTTCGTGCCAGAGCTCGTGCCAGAGAATGGCCACACGGATGAGCTCGTTGCCAACGAGCAACGCCTGTTCGACGATATTGTGCGAGTGCTCCTTCATACGATCCATGATAGCGCTAGCGGCACTCTTACGCGAGATACTGCTAGACTTAGATGCGACCGCAAGCGGGTAAATGAGCGCCTGCGGGTGCTGCTTGCCGATGTCGGTGAGGAGATTGGTGATGTTCCGCCGAATATTCGCGCTGGGTGTCTGAATGCGCGCTATGATCTGCGGCACGACCTCCAACCACGTATCAACCTCGAGCGTCCCGAAGCCGGCGGCCATCGCATTGCTGACGTCATCGTGCGCGCCATACTTGAACCAGAGCGTGAGCAGCCTGAGCGTATCCTGCAGCGCATTCTCGCTCCGAAGCGCGATGGAGCGGAAGAAGCCCTGTACGGCGGGAACGATATGGTTGATGAGTCCCTCGCCGCCCGTGTCCAGGTTGCGCTCGCTCATGTATCCAACGACCTCGAAGTTGGTAAGCGCCCACGTATGCCACGCCTTGTACCACAGCGGGTCATAGTGCGTGGCGAGGAAGTACGAGTGCAGGATATCCTTGACGTTTCGCGCGCCCCAGTTATCCTCGAGCTCCATTTGCCATTGACCCTGCTTGAAGAAGCAGCGCGCGAGGAGGTGCGAGAGCTCCGCCATCTTCTGCTTCGGTACACCCCCGCGCTGCGTCGGTACTTCGGGTTGTAGGTCGCGCGCAAGGCTCGTGACGAATTGGCGGAGGAAGGTCAGGCTCTCAGCTTTAGCGCCCTCAGCCCACATGAACTTGAGCTGAGCGTAGACAACGTTTGGCGGTGCGCGCTGGTTCTTTGTATCAATGATCAGTATCGAGCCTTTCCCCAGGATAAGAAGGCGAAGAACTTACCCGTTCAGGCGATAGCAACGAGTTGATGGTCTTCTCCGCGAGCGGCATCCGGTCGTTCTTCCGGCACAGGTTCGCAAACTTGATCCACATAACCGGGTCGTCGTCCGGACTAAGCACAAGCGTGCGGACTTGCAGAATCCTCTGCCACACCTCGACATCAGGCTGGCACCCTTGCAACCTAGGCATGCACACACATCGTCAGCAACTCATTCATATGTGAGGTGATGAGAAGAGAGAACGCACCGCTTCATCCACGTCCGCCTCATAGTCCCCTGCCTCTCCGGCTGATCCGCAAACTGCTTATACTGTATGATCTCCTCCAACTCGCTCAACATCTGTGCCCTAACCATCGTGTTATAGCTCCTCCCATACGCCTCGCCCACAAGCCCGCCGAACTCCGGATCCAGCAGATCGCGCGCCCGCGTGATATGCGTGAGCGCTTTAGGGAACTGATTCTGGTGCACGCTCAGGATGGCGCGGTAGAATGACTTGTCGGCCGAATCGGCGCGCATGGACGCGATGTAGCTGTCCATGCTGTCCCAGTCGTTCAGACTCCACGCAGCGGCCGCTGCCATAGGCGCGATCTCCCGCCTCTCGTCTGCGCCGGCACCGGACCACGTATCCTCGACTTGGGCCGCGAGAGCATCCCATTCTCCCAACGCGTGCAGGCACTTCATGCGGCCGAGCATGACCTCGAACCCGGCGTCTGGATCTTGCTGCGCGCGCCTCTCGTATACGACCAGTGCATCGCTCCACCGCCCTAGGCGCTCGTACCACTCCTCATGCTTGCTGACATCGTATTGTTCGCGCGCGATACTCAGCGTGCCCCACGCCGCATCCTGCTGCTGCAAGCGCGTGTTGATGTTGATAAGCGCCTCGATGATAGCCGGCGAGCTCTCAGCGAAAAACTCTAGCTCTTTGTAGTGTAGAGCTTTGGCGTAAGCGTGGTACTTCTCCGCGATGGCGCCGAGCGTCGAGTTCTCGATGGGAAGACGCTGATCTTCGTGTTCCATGAACTCGCAGAGGTTGAGGAGACGGTGGACGAGCTCAGCGGGTGTCGTATCGGATGTGATGGCCCACTCTATCGCGCGTACAAGGTCCTCCTGCAATGATTCAGTCAGCATGCTGCGGATCCTTTGACGCTTTGTCTCGAAGTGCATACCTGGTACTGTTCGTAGAGCTCCCTCCAACAACTAATAAACGCCGCATTGAACAGCTCCCTCGCAAGCGGCGGATGGATATCCACCAAGCCCATACAAGCCCTCAACGCATGACTCGGGCTCTCCTTCATAAACTCCACGCTGAGCCTGTGCATCCACTCCAACCAATCCTCGCGCGAGCCGATGCCGGATGTATCCCAGGCTTGCTTCAAGTGCTGCTGGTTCACTTGCATCTTCGCAGCTTCGGCGGGAGCAGAGAATTCGGGCGCTTTCGCTGATTCGCTCATGCTGTGCACAACAACGGCGTTAGTATACACAGACTCTTTGAGTGAAATGTAAAAGTACGCACATGTACTCGAGCGCCCCGAGCTCCTGTGGCATCCTCTCCCCATTCAAGAGCTTGCTGATCAAGCCATCATACTTGGCGCTCCCGAACCTCGTCCTCCTAAGCACCTTGTCCACAGTCGGTACGAAGATGGCATAGTCGCTCCCCAGCTGCATGACGAGTGCACAGAGCGTATCGAGCACTGCAGCCCTAAGCTCGTTCGCAGCTGGCCCGCCACCCGCGCCAGGCCCTGCGCCCGGTGCTGTGTTCGACGTGGTGGTAGAGGGGTTGGAGCTGGACGCGCCGCCGGAGGACGAAGAGTTCGGGTAGGGATTGTTCAGCACCCTCACGAGCGGATGAATGATCCTACTCGCATGCTCGCTAAAGTTGACCCTCGCCGCAAGTCCATCGATAGTCAACACCGCCCTCTTCCTCAACGCAAGCGGCGCATCGCTCCTCTCATACGTCCTCACGACGATCGGAATAACGAGATGCAGATACTCCTCGATGTTCGCGCCGAACGAGAGCAGAGCGTCGAATACTTTCATCTGCGATTGCGTGCGCTTGTCGGCGGTGCCGGTGGAGGTGGAGTTGGATGTTGAGAGGGAGAGGGAGGTGGAGGGTTGTTGGGTTTCGCCGTCGAAGACGCGGAGCATCAGGGGGAGAACTGCTGGGAGGAAAGGCTTGAATTCGGCGTCGAGCGCCCGTCCTAGGCTTTCTACGAGTCCGACGAGAGGGAGTTGGAGGGCACCGGCGGATGCGTCCCAGAGGTCCGTGACGAGCTTGAACACGTCCGGCATGTAGTTTCGTACATGCTGCTTGATGATGCTCACAAGAATAGCTAACTGCTGGAGATGGAACTCCTGAACTCTTGCTCCATTCGCCGTCCTTGCGACCGTACAGAACGCCGGCACGATATCGGGCAAGAAAGCGACGCATTTCAGACCTTGAGTCTTGAAGATGCTCATGATAGCTTCGATGACTGTATGGTGGTGCGCCTGGAGAGAGGTGTCTTTCAGAATGGCGAGGAGAGCGTGGATGACGACCGCTTGGTAGTAATCATCGCTAGCGCTGGACGACGCGTAGGCCAGTGCGCCGGGCGCTTGTGCTGAGACAGGCGCAGGGTCAGGCATATTGAGGTCATCGAGGCGGCCTGCTCTCCTTCTGTACGGATCGAGCGCGCCAAGTGTACCGAGAACCTTGACAACTTCCCTCCTCAATCCACCGCCCCCAGCACCTTGTCCGCCCTCGGCCCGCAATAGACGCCCAAGCGCGGGCAACAGCTCCGGATGCTCAACGAGCGGATCAATGACGTAACCCGTCGCAGCGCACACCTGCCCGAGCGTCCTCAACGCCGCATCCCTCTTGCCCGGCGCAGGATCGTTCAGCTTGCCCAAAACGATCTGCATGAGTTCCGGTACGTGCGGCCGCACATCCTCTCCTCCCACCACCGCGAGCTCGCCGAGACACATAAGCACGTTCGCAGCGACCGTCGGGTTTGTGTCGTTCGCTTTCGTCAATAAGACCCTTAGCATTGGGAGGGCGTAGGGCTTGATGAGTCTCGCCGTAGCAGCGACGAGCTGTGTGAGCAGATGCGTGCATTCTTCCCTCGCACGCGGAGCAGGCGCATATTCCAGCTCCGTCAAAAGCTGCACCAACGCCTTCCTCAAGCTCGGCATAACATACGCCGGATTATGCGCTGCCAGCCGTCCGATAAGTCCCACCGCCAACAGCCTATTCTCGAAGCACTCGTCGTTGAGCGCGATGAACAGACTGCGTACGTTCTCAGCTTGAGCGAGGTGCCGGTCGAACGTCTCGTGTAGTCCGCCGAGGACTGCCGCGCGGATGGACGGTTCGGGGTCGGCGATTCCGGCGGTGAGGAGTTTGTCGAGGACGTCGAAGATTACTTCGATGCTGTGTGTTGAGGCTTGGTAGCAAATCGAGTCGCGCGCAAAGACGCGGCAGCATGTAAGCGCGGCGGCGCGTCGGAGAGCGGGTTCGTCGGAGTCGAGGTACTGGAGTGCGGCGTCGCGTACGAATTCGGCAAGCGCGTGTCCGGAGAAGTCGAATGAACCGAGCGTATCGAGTGCGAGGACGAGTAGCTCTGTGCTCTTCTCCTTCGACCCGCCGTTCACCTGTGCCGAGGTGTCCGACGAGCCTGGTAGGGGTGGCGGCGCGCCGAGAGGCCTGTACCCGTGCCCCGTGAGAATGTAGGAGAGCATATCGAGCAGACGGTCTTGTATCGTCTTGAGCAGAGGCGGGATGTGTCCGGCAATGGCGACAAGTGCCTGGCGCAACGGATCGCTAAGCCCACACGCAAACATGAGCTCGAGCTGGTCGTGCAGCAACTTCGTGAGGTTCGGCCCAACCGCGCTCGCAAGCATCCCGACACACTGGAACATCGGCTCTTCGGACGTCTGTTGCGCCTGGGCAGCTTTCTTGCTGTTCCGCGCTTGCAAGCCGGCCTTGATATGCGCCATGATGCTCTCGAGGAAGGGTTTCATGTCGGAGCCAACGGCCGTAGCGACGTGCCCGATTGCGATGAAAGCAATGGAGCGCTCGGGAGGTTTGTCGAGTTGGGTGAGCAGATGGGCCATGGCGTGGTGTAGGAAATGCTCGGCGAAGGTCTGTGTGTCGTAGGTAGCCAGCGTCGGGATGAGGGTGATGACCATCTTGCGAACCAGAGCGTCGCGCGCGGTCTTGAAGCGCAGAATCTGCTCGCCCGTGTCGAGGAAAGTCTCGCGCATGAACATACCGCCGTGCAATAAAAGCTCGCGATATGTCAACAGGGACCCATGTACGACTTCTGGCTGGGGCATCTTGAGTCCCGCCTGCGCGTCGCGGAGAATACGGGACATGTGCGCATTAGGCGCCGTGCGTTCGCGCTGAGTGATGATCTCCAGACACGCGGCTAGCAGTTCCGCAGCGCCCTCGCGCACGATCAAGCGCGCGTCGCGGAGGGGGATGAGCAGCTTGTCGAACACAAGGTCGATGTGCGCGTGAAAGTACGCCGGCGAGTTTCTCGCCAATTCTTTCAAAATCAACACGCCGGCGTATCGTCCCGGCTCCTGCTTGTCGCCCTGCAACAGCCCAATCGCATACGGCACTTCCTTCTCCATAAAGCGCTCCCCGAACCCCGGCCCGCCGATCTCCGCGATCTGGCCCAGCGTCTTGCTCGCCGCCAGCATCACGTTGATGTCCTGATCGGGCAACAGGGACTTGGCATAGTTGAAGAAACGGTAGAGCATCCGTTTGGACTCGAGTCCCTCGTCGCCGTCGAGGTCGAGCAGGTGGTCGATGGCCTGTACGCCGCCCAGTTTGTCCGTCACGGACGTAGAATGGATGAGCTCGAATATTCGCTTGTTGATGCTGTCGTCCCAGAGCTTGATGGCCTGGTCTGACGGCAGCTCCGCTATCTTCGTGCCCACCTATATTAGTATTAGCATATACCAATCTGTGGTTGAGGGAATAAAACGCGCATATCGGCGAAGGTCGAGCGCAGACTGCAGTCTCGTCTCTGAGCTCTTGCTCCTCAGGCCCTGGAATATTTGATTCAGGACGTCGGCATGGGGCGCGACGGCGGCGGAGGCCATGGCATGGGAGGGGAGATGGTGGGAAGAGTCAAGGCGATGTGGCGTTTCAGCTTCAACTCCAGACGCGACTTGTCACTCACCGGCCATGGCTACCAACGGCGCCTCGGGCTCGAATGGCAATGGCCAGGGCGCTATTGTGCCCACTAATAGCGTCACTGCGGGTAGTTCGAATATAAAGGCTAGGATAGACCCTACTCTATCTGTCGCAGAGGTATGTCTATATGTGTCTTCATTACGTCAATGTGTATATGTGCTGAAAGTGTAAGAGGTGGTGAAACAGCTATGCGTAAACCTGCAAATGAAGAGGCCCGCATCCGACTTTGCGCTACGAGACGAACAAAACGAACTCGTAACGGACCAGAACCTGCGGCGCAAGATCAAAACGAAAGCCCGGCTGAAGCTCGTCAACGCGCCGCACGTCGAGGCCCAAGAAACGATCGAGAAACTAGGTTCCCCAGGCGAGAACTCGCGCCTGGTACTCTTCAACCTTCAAAGCTTTATCAAGGAAGACGTATTCTGCGAGGCTTTCCTCAGCCGTGGGGGACTGGGCCTGTTGGTTGAACATATCCATATTTCGCACGGCAACGTCCTAGCCTACGCGTTAAGCGCCCTGCAGAACCTTATGCAGCGCGACGACGGTTGGGCCGCGCTCGACGGCGCTCTCATCGCACGTGTCGTCGACGTCCTTCAGCAGCCCTCTTCCCTCGTCAACGTGTGCCGGCCCGCCACTGCCATCCTCAAACGTCTGGTAGAGGCGGACCCTTCGGCCCAGCCGGGTCCCCTCCTGGCTTCTTCCTCCCGCGGCCCGCCTCCCCCGCCTCCAGGCTCCGTATACCGCTTTGGCTTTGACGCCGTGTACGAGCACCTGAGTCACGCGCCTCATGCGCTCGATACTGTTGTCTCCAGGATCGGCACGGCCGACACGCAGCTCGCGTTACATTCCATCATGCTCGTCACGGCGCTGCTTACACACGCCACGGACGCGCACTGGGACGCTCTGACGGCTAGACTAGACGCGCTAGGCACCGCACGCGCCGTCATCCGTCTCATGTCCTCACACATGATCGATGACCTGCGTTCCACAGTCCTCGACTTCCAATCCGCCCTGGCGCGCGTCTTCTACCGCAACAAATCGACCTACGTCCAACCCGACTCCGAACCCGCACACGCAGCAGCGTGCACCGCAATCCTCACAAACGCGCGCGTGGACTCGTGGGTCGAGCTTGGGTTCGGCTCTAATGATCCCGCGCGCGAGTTCGGCGAAGTCGGCGTTTTGGGGTTGTATTGCTTGCGAAATCTCGCGCTTGAGGATGCGGATGGGTTCGCGAGGATTGCTGCGGAGCAGCTTGGGAGGCCGCCGTCGAGGAGGTGTCCGCTCGCTAGGGCCTCGAACGAGATCGTCGAACTTCTCTCCGAGCATTGGGCCATATTTGCACCGGGATACGCCACGTCTCCGTCATTCCAACCCTTCTTCCTGAACTTTTACAAAGTGCACTCATTGGCGTTCGCATTCTTTGTGAGGATATGGGACGAAGCCGGCGCGGATATTCGGGATTTCGTCAGGGTTGTCGGGCTTGTGAGGAGTCAGGTCAAGCTGGCGTTGAGAGGGGAGAGTACGAGAGAGTGGCACGAGATGGAGGACGACTTCCGTGGTGCGGGGGCGGAGTATAGGCTTGTCAGGGAGAGGCAGATGAAGGAGTTGGAAGAGGAGGATGATTTGTTGAGCAAAGTGCCCATCCGGTATGTGCTTGATTCACTTCATCAATCATTTGACTCTCACGGCTATCTAGAAACCTGCGCGAGAAACTTACAAGAGAGAGCAAGGAGTTCGTTCGCCAGCAACGGCTTCATTGTCTAACAACGGGGGCCTGGTTCGCCCTCGGCGTTCCGGTCTCAAGCCCTCACCCACGCCGACCAGCTCGTCCATATCGGTTCTTACGGTAAGTAATCTCATCCTCTTCATGCCCCCCGTCTCACGACCTATCATTTATGCCAGGCTGGACCGCGGTATGAAGTACCTTCACTACGTCGACGCCCCCACCAAGTTCCCCGTTCGCGACGGCCTCGAAGATCTACCCGAACGCATCGAACTATCCCTCGTATCCGAGATCGCACTCGGTCAATGCGCATTGCCGCCCTCAGACTCCAACACCACCAACGGCCCCACGCATAAAACGTCCTTTGCGAGCTCGCCCATTGGCGCTGGAGTGGGCTCAACATTGAGAAGTGTTGCGAAAGATAGAAGGAGCGGGGGTGGTGGAATTGGCGGAGGTGCAAGCGGAGGGTTGGTGGCGAATCCGTTGAGTTTTAGTCTTATGACGGGAGAAGGAAGCGCGGCGGACCTTATTGCGCCCGACGCGGCTCGGTACGTGCCTTTCGCAACTTTCAACACTCGGAGAAGGAGCTGATTTGAGTGAATACAGGTGGGCAGACTGGACGGACGGCTTGAACATGCTCAGACGCGACGGCGGACATGTCGGTAGCGAGATGACGGCGGGCTTTGTACAAGCTTTGACGGAGATCGGACTGAAGATCAAGTTGCTCGGTACGACCTCTTCATATTTATCTGTGATACGCGAATGTGCTGTGCTGACGCCTGAAATCAGATTTGAGCGGCGATAAAGTCGAGATCCCTAGCGGACTCAGCGCCGGCGCGCCACCCGTCAACGCGGACTTTTATTTCTCTGACTTCTACGATCCGCAGTAGTGGGAGAACAGCGCCTGATACATCTCTTATGCATATCTAATTGGGAAGCTATCTATCACTATCTACGTTCATCTTTTGAGTCTATGGCGGGCTGGTCCTTTGTGTTGTTGATACCCCCTCCCTCGTTTATACGTGCTGTATACCGTTTTCAACGTCCTGATTAATCTACTATGCTTGGGTGTATTTTTGCTGGGCACTTGGTATGTCCCGTGTGCTTTCTGAGTAGCGCGTGGAGAAGGTGCGATTCCGGGAGGATGCGCTTCGGACGCGTGGGCAGAGATGATAATAAAGACACGTGACCGCGATGTGGTTGACCTGTGGCGCAGGCAAGCTCACTCTCCTGGGACGATACCGGCCCTTGTATCAGCAGAAGTGCATTAGAGACTACTTGCAGTGCCGCTGAGGGATTACTTGAGATAGAGCGATTCGGAGGAGCCTCAGAGTTGTCGCACTAATCGTGGGAAATTATCGCGCTAACCACGTTCCTGGTGTGGTTGAATCCGCGCCTTGCGGCAACCGCACCTTGCCTCCCACCATCAACCCTTCAACCACCATCATTTCGCTTTCCGCACTATATAAGGTGCGCCTGCTTAAGGAACTTGGTAAGCGCCTGCTCTGCTTCTGCCATGAGCTCTCCCTCTTACACACCCCCGCCTAGTGCGGCTCCTTCATCTCCAACCCCTTCGTCGCCGGCTCCTTCATCTCCAACCCCTTCGTCGCCGGCTCCTTCATCTCCAGCTCCGTCGTCGCCGGCTCCTTCATCTCCGACCTCGCCTCTGAAAGTCCCTTCGTCTCCTGCGGACTCTGTCACAGACTTTGATCTATCATCTGCGCCGCCGAAGACTCCCACCAAGGCAACCACAGACGCACCTACACCGGAAGGCCCCAAGCGCACGCCTGCTGTACGCTTGAGACAGTCCGTCGCGACATCACTTGTGGGAAGGATCTTGAACGAACATATCAACAACGAAAATACCAAGGACATGGAGGGTACGATGCTTGATGCGAATGTTTGAGGCGCCACATACTGATTCTGTCCCCATAGGCAAATGGCTTGGGCCTATCCCCACCGACCAATGGAAGCGCGATCTCGGACCCCAGAGCAAAACGACACCACCGACCAAGACCATCCCATTTCACACCGTCGCTACGACTACCAACGGTGAAGCGAGCTTTGTACGTATTGTCCTCTTTCTCTCTCGTGTCAGTCGATGCTTATGTGAACATGTTCGAACCCGAAGGTGGAAGCCATCAACAGCAGCGGGATATTCGAAGGGTTCCAGCTGTGGTGCAGTGACACACATGCGGTGTACGGACGCGACGAGACCACGGACAGGGAGCGCTCCTTCCATCTTTCTCCCGATGTCGCGATATTTGGGAGGGACGATATCAGGCTGGATGCGGGAGACGAGGAACGTCTGGAGCGTATGCTAGGCGAGATGGCTGTCGTTGGTGACTTGAAGAGCTCCAACCAGCAGGATCCCTGTCTGGCTCTCACGACTCCTGAGGACCGCCGACTTCTCGGGATATTGGAGTCGCTCACGGACACCGAGCTGTCACGGCTTGTCCGCGGGCAACTCCTCACATACGCTCGTGCCATCTGCGCGAACAGCCACCGCACGCACCTCTACGGCTTCATCATTCTTCCGCGCTACGCACGCTTGCTGTACTTCGACAGGAGTGCCGTCGTCTACTCCGAACTCTTTGACTGGCGCGAGACATCGGTCCTCGCCGAGTTCTTCCAGCAATTCGCAGTTGCCGGCCCTCTCGCGCGCGGCTACGACCCCTCTGTCCAGAAGATCTCTGCCGATGACAAGCTCGTACGGGACGCGGGTACAATCTTTAATAAGGCGTACGATGCAGGCGATGAACTCCCCGACGACATCACCTGGGACAGCGTCTTCAAGTCCGTCAGGTCCGCCGACACGACCTACTGGTTGTGCAACGTCTACGACGAAAAGACGCGCACCTTCCATCGCGTTCTCACTTATCGTGTGCATACGTCGACTCCGTACTTTGCCGGCCGCGCTACGTGCGGTTACGTCGGCGTTGACATCGACCGGAAGTCTGTCGCATACATGAAGCGCAGCTGGCGCATCGGCCTCCCCTCTTTCCCTAAGGAGCGCGACATCTACCTCTCGTTTGAGGAGTCGGAGGGAGGAGGGCCGGTGCCCCACCTCCCCGGATGTTACTTCGGGGGAGACGTGCCGCGTAACTCGGACAGCCTAGCCAAGGATTACTTCGATTGGGTGGAAGCAGGGAAGCCTGGAGGGTCTTGGACGCCTCCATCCGACATCGAACCCATCTGCACTGTGACGCCGGACTACGCCGACGCTCATAATATTCGCCGTGGTGCCTCGGATCGCACCGACCTCACCGACGCACAGATCGAGGTCATTCCATACGTTCTCACCGTGACGCTGTTCAGCAGGATTGGGGGCCGGCTTCGTGACTTCAAGAGTACGCGTCAGCTCTGTACTGCCGTTCGCGATGCACTTGAGAGTAAGCCTTTTCGCAATAACCGCGCTCGATGCAAGCTGATCGTTTTTCGGCATAGCTCACGATGTGGCATATCGATTGAAGAAAATTCTCCACCGCGATGTCAGCGAGTCGAACATACTCATCGCGAAGATCAAGGGCAAGAAAGGCGAGGTCGAAGGGCTACTCATTGACTGGGACCTATGTGTTGAACTCTGGAAATACTTGACGGCGCGCCGCAAGGGTCGTACAGTGAGCATTGCGCCTTTTCTTCGTCCTTCTCCGATCGTCTGACATGGTCAAAGGGGACTTGGGCATTCATGTCGGCACGTATGCTCGAAAAGAACCAGAGCTTCGTCCATGAAGCCGTCGATGATCTTGAGTCGTTTTGTTACGTCTTACACTGGGAGGTGAGTCGAGTGTTCATCATGAAGTGTCTGAGAATCTGATGGTAACATTGATCTAGGTGTTTCACTACCGGCACACTGTGCCGTTCAACAGGAAGTCAATCCTGCTGCAACAGATGCGACAAGCCTTCAGTCCCAGCGAAAGTGTACTCGATGCCGAGGCGGGTGCAAACGCCAAGAAGAACTTTTTGACCGGCCAGATTGAAGTGTTCGAACTCGCAACAAAAACTACTACGCCGGTCGGGCTTCGGAATATCATGCGTGGCATCCGTTACCCGTTTGGTATGATATACACCCACCCGCCCGTGAAGCCAGAGTATCCCGCCACGCTCGACCCCGATGTCGAGATCGACTACCAGCGGGACTTGGAAATTCACGAGCGCAAGTCCGCCAAAGGAATGACTATGTGCACACATACTCATATGCTCAAGGCATTCAACGACGCCTTGGCCGACGCCGACCTCTGGACCGGTGATGGCTGTGCGAAGGATATGTATCCGCCTGTGGTCTGCAAGGCGTACGATCAAGGGAAAGATCTCGCCGACTTCTACGAGACGGACGATGTCACTGGTAGTGTCAACGCGTTGAGGCGGTCGCAGGCGAATATCATACTCAAGCGTTCGGCTGACGATGCAGGCCTTCTTGTCCGCGCCCCGCGTGCCTACACTCCCGGCTCTGGTCGCAGTCGCACCGAGATTACTGCCGCTATTCGTTCCTCTGGTACTACCGCGACAAACTCTTCGGGAACGACCGCTGCCAGTGCTACAGTGGCCGGCGAAGCTGGCGACAGTTCCGAGTCGTCGGCAGAGGGCTCGCGCAAGAGGCAGCGGGTTGGTTGAAGGATACTAGTATCGCGCACATGTTGCGGATGCCCAGTTTGTACATGTCACAGGTCTTTTATCTACAATACTCTGCACATAACTTGCATCAGTCTATATATCCTGTTATGCCTGTCATTTACTATCCCTTGCTGATTGAGATGCTCTTGTCATATGTATAGCTATCAATACATCTACCTTCTACCTTTGTCATTCGAGTGCGCGGTGCTCACACATGAGCGACGACCTCCAGTATACGGTCGTAGACCTCCCGTGTCTTTTAAACCGTCCTCGTCCGCGTGTGCCGCGACGAGAATCATCGCGCCCGATGCAGCCCGGCACGTCTCTTTCACAACTTTCTACATCAGGAGTAGATGCTAACTTGGGTAAAAGCAAATGAGAGAGATAGACTGAATACTTCAATATGTGTGGGAAGCGAGAACCTGCCTGCACAACGTTGAGTACTCCAGCGAGCAAGCCTGAGCATTCTCGATACATCGTGGACTAAGAACCCACGTGAACCTCGTAGCTTCCGCTCTCGCGATAGACATCAAAGGTTACTTTGATCATGTCAACCACGCACGCATGGTCCGCACCCTCGACCTCCTAGGCTTCTCACATGAAGAAGTAGGATGGCTTCATTCGTTCCTTTCAGACCGACGAGTCAGCATTCGAGTAGACGGACACACCTGCGCACCGGTCCCCATCGCAGGAATCGGCATACCTCAAGGCTCTCCCCTTTCTCCGATCCTCTCGACCATGTATACCTTCACCATCCTGTCATGCCTCGACGACGAGCCAAATACGGACGCCAAGTTCTACGTCGACGACGGGCTCCTTCTGGCCGTTTCGTCTTCTTACGACACCAACATCCTCGAACTTCAACACGCTTTCGACACAGTCACCCGCAAGCTTCAACAGCTCGGTTTAGACATCGACGCAGACAAGACCGAGCTCATACACTTCGCACCGAGCCGTAGCAGGGTGGATCCCGGCAGACTCCCGCACATCAACATCATCCCGCCGAATGCGCGCGCTCGTTCCGTCTCTCCTCAGCCAGTCATGCGCTGGCTAGGTATCTGGTTCGACTACAAGCTTACGTGGAAGAGCCACGTCGAGAAGATGGCCACACGCGCGCGGTCGACAATAGCAGGCCTGCGCATCCTCGCCAACACCGTCCGCGGCTTGCGGCTAGCGAATGCGCGCTTACTTTACAAGACCGTCGTGATACCGGTGTTGACCTTCGGTGCACCGGTTTGGTACAGAGGCGTGCGCCAAAAGACACTCATCAAGATCCTCGAGATTGCTCAGAACGAGGGCCTGCGATGGATGCTCGGCGCTTTTCGTACTACCCCCTCCGCAGAAATGCATCACCTCGGCGCCATTCTTCCTATTCACATACTTCTCAAGCAACTCTCTCACAACGCGGCGATCCGCCTCAGAACTCTCCCGCGCACGTCACAAGTGCTTCGCCGCACTCCTCGAACATGGGATGAAAGCGACCCTCACTGCCCGGTCCCGCTACCGAACACGGTCAAAGACCCCTCGGCCACCATCATCCATCACCTCGCAAGTCTCACAAGCGCCAACGCCGAACAGATTATCCCATACCATGACCCCCCTTGGTCCAGACACCACAATTGGGGGGACCGCCTGCTGGTAACCCTCCCGGAACGCGACGCTGACGAGAGACGCCGCGCGCTATACGTCCGCGACGTCCGTGTGCGCATCGACGACTACTCGCACGACCCGCGGACAATAGTGGTCTTCACAGACGGCTCGCGTCGACGGGTAGACGGTCACAGGCACCGACGCACGGGTGCCGGCTTTGTGATCTTTCGCAATGGCCAGGAAATCCGCGCGGGGAAGCGATGCCTCGGACGGCGAGCCGGC